CCATCCATCCACCCACCCATCCATCCATCCATCCATCCATCCACCCATCCATCCACCCACCCATCCATCCATCCATCCATCCACCCATCCACCCATCAACCCACCCATCCACCCACCCATCCATCCACCTGTCCGTCTACCCAGTCACCCTCCCCCCTCCCGTGCACCCATCCATCAACACCCCCTCCCCCACCGCCTGCAGGCCCTCGGATCCCCGAGGGTGACAGCCGAGTCCCAGGGCACCGGCCGCCTGCCTGCGTCTGTGTGTGCGGCTGGAGCTGAAATTGCTTGCAGCCGCGCAGCCGGCATGGGTCTAAGTGGGTCAGAAAGGGCTCCGCAGCGCATCACCCACCCTGTCACTCAGTTTCGACTCCACAGCCGTTCCCATCATAGGAAATGTCAGCTCAGTTCCACAGAGAACTGCACAGACTTTGGCTCGAGCTGTGTCATGGGTCATTTCCTTCAGCGGCACCTCCAGATTAGGGCCACAGGGCACAAGTTCCTTCACTCCCACGGCCAGCATGCGTGAACCAGGTGCCAGACGCAGAACTGGCTCTTTGAAAGTTTGCTACCTCCCCCCGACGCGCTGTGTCTAAACTTAGGGGGGCAGTGCGCACGTGTCATCCCAGCATCCGGGGAGGCTGAGGCAGGAGAATTGCAAGTTTGAGCCCAGCCTGAACAACTTAGCAATACCCTGGCTGAAAATTCAAAGCGTTGCAAGGGCTGGGGTACAGCCCCCCAGGCGGCCCCCGAATCACCCCCACATTGGCTGATTGGGGAAACGCGCACCTGTTAGCGGTCAGGCGGGCGGCACGGCACGGCCAGTCAGCCGGATGCCTCGCATGCCTGAGACTTCCTGGTCCCGAGCTCGGGGCCTAAAATAAGCCAAGTTATGTGCGGCCAGCCCAGCTGCACATCAGCTGTTCCCAGGGCAGCGCTGGGTCCCGCAGGGATGGGGCAGGGAAAACTCCCTCCACGGGCTGCAGGGGAGACCCTCCTGCCTCTGCCTCCATGTCCGAGCAGCTTTTCCTCTGTGTCTGCATCCTCTCTTCTGTCTCTCAGGATGCTGCTGTTGTTGGGATCAGGAGGCCGAGGCAGGAGGGTCTCCTCTCCAGATCCACCACTAATTCCGTCTACAGGGACTCTGTTTCTAACCAGACCCCATCCGAGGTCTGGGGTCAGGACAGGGACACTTCACTGGGGTCACCGTTCAAATACCCAAGAAAAGCAACACAGAACAGGAGAGGTACACGGGGCTCACAGCTGCAGAGGGTTCGGTCCGTGGCCAGCTGCTCCCAGGCAGGGACATCGCGGTGGACCTGGGTCACCACCTGCTTCGCCGTCCCTCCTCCTGCCCTCGAGAGACGGGGTTGGCGGTCTGCAGCCACGCCTGGTGACCCTGAACCCTGGTCACAAAGGTCAGCTGAAGTGGCATCTGTGTTGGGGGAGGGGAGGACAAGGACCATCGCCCTGGGCGCTGTGAAACTGTGTCTGACTGCGCGTGGCGGTGCACGCCTGTCATCCCAGTACACAGGAGGCTGAGGCAGGAGGGTCTCAAATTCCAGCCAGCCTGTGTGTAACTTAGTGAGGCCCCGTTGCAAAATAAAAAATAACAGAAGAGCTAGGGACGGGGCGCCATGCCAAGGCCCTGGTTCAATCCCAACAACAACAGAAATTGTTTCGGCATCTCCACTGAATGTGTACAGAATTATTTCTTTATTTGATTTGCTAAACAACACACTATAACAGCTATTCGCACATCACATAAGTGATTTTAACGTAACATAACAGCATTCACATCACATAAGTGATTTTATTTTTTTTATTTATTTTTCATCTTTTTGAGGCAGGGTCTTGCTATGCAGTTCAGGCTGGCCTTGAGGTCACTTTGTAGCTCAGGTTGGCCTCGAACTTGCAACAATCCTCCTGCCTCAGCCTCCCGAGTGCTGGGGTTACAAGCATGTGCCACCACACCTGGCTCCACATAAATGACTTTAAATGATCTAATCCTGTCATCCTAGCACTCAGGAGGCTGAGGTAGGAGGATCCCAGGGAGTTAGAGGTCAGCCTTGGCTACATAGCAAGTCTATAGCAAGACCCTATCTAAAAAAAAAATATATATATATATATATATGTAATATTTTGCTAGTTTCAGTTCTTTATACTTTGTCAGGTTCCTGCAATCACTAGTGAATACTTTTATAGTCTGAAAACTTTCCCCATAGTGGCAATGTGGATCAATACCTCCAGTTGGGTTGGCGTCCCACCCGCCCGGGCTGGGTCAGACACGGGTCAGGAGCTGAGGCTAGAAGCCTCCTATTTGTTGAAGAAAACCCTGCAGACTCTTTTCTACAGCCCCGTGCTCCTGGGGACAGCGAGATGCCCGCTCTAAACGTACTCCAGTGTGCCACTGACTGCTTTTGTATTCCTATGGGGGTGGTGGTTTCACACTGGGAAGCTCACCTGGGCGTGGTGACACGCGCCTGTCATTGGTAGGCTGAAGCAGGAGGATCGCTCACATTCAGGAGTTCAAGGCCAAGCCTGGGCAACACATGGAAGACCTTGTGTCAGCTGGGCGTGGTGGCGCAGCACTGTGGAGGCTGAGGCAGGAGGATCGTTGTGAGTTCGAGGCCAGCCTGGGCTACAAAGTGAGCTCAAGGTCGGCCTGAACTGCACAGTGAGACCCTGTGTCAAAAAGACCAAAAAAAAAACAGCAGCACGCAGGCGCTGGTGGACCCATCCGGGCTCCTGCAGACAGATGGATGGGCAGAGGCAGAGGCAGAAAGTCCCCAACCAGCTGGGAAGACCTGAAATGCAGGAGGCCTGGTTTGAGCTCACACTTGAGATCCTCCTGCCTCATCCTCCCGAGTAGCTGTTCCTAGACTGCATCCCTGACCCCCAGGACCTCAGGCTGCAGCTGTGTGTGGAGATGGGGTCTAACGAGCTGGAAAAGCCAAACTGAGTCCCCAGGGTGGCCCCGACCCCACAGGACCCGGTCCTGCTGAGAAGAGGACAGGATGGGTGCCGTGGTACCAGCCTCAAGTACAGAAGGAACAGGCAGTTTGGATCCCCAAGACTTTGCCAGGTAGGGCTGGGCAGGGGCTTGAAGCCCAGCATGACGCCATTGGGCATGAGGGCCCTTTAAAAGGCGGGGCCTGTGGGAGGAAGTGAGGTCATGGGGGCGTGGCTGGGAAGGGTATATTAGGCGCACCGGGTCTCCTTCTCTCCCTCTCCCCCTCCCCCTCCCCCTCCCCCTCTCCCTCCCCCTCCCTCTCCCCCTCTCCCTCCCCCTCCCTCCCTCCCTTTTTCTTTTTCTTCTCTTTCTTTCCTTCCTTCTTTCTTTGCTTTGTGGCCACCATGGACAGAGCACCTATGAGATTGTCTCATGGCAACCAGCCACAGAGAGAAACTTCAGAAACCGTGTCAAAACAAACCTTTCCTCTGCACAGCGACCATCTCAGGCAACGGCAACGGAGGACCTGAGGTGGACTTCCTCCCACAGGGAGGAAGACAAAGGCAGCCCAGATGTGCCCCCGTGTTGACGCTCAAGCAAAACTTCAATAGCATGACATGCCCGTCACGCTAGCTATTCGGGAGGCTGAGGCAGGAAGATCACAAGTTCAAGCCCAGCCTGGGCATCTTGGTGAGATTCTGTCTCGAAATAAAATAAAAAGGGCCAGGGATGGAGCTCAGGGTACAGCCGGTTGCACCCGGCGCAGCGCTCGCAGGACTGAGCTGGTTGGTGAAAGCTGGGGTTGCACCCCGGAAGCAGTGAAGGAAGCCAATCCGTCCCAGGCAGGAGAGTCCCAGGCTACCAAAGCTACGCGGAGCCATTGGGATTTTAGAGCCGTGTTCGTTTGGAAGGATAAGCAAGCGAATAAACTCCTGCCTCCAAACGACACAAACGTCTGCTGCTGCTGCTGAGGAATCCAGGAACCCAAAATCAGCCTCAGGGTCAGACAGCACTGGACCTGTCCGAGCCAGTTCAATTCCAGCACGGTAAGTAATTGAGACGCAGAGCAGGGTGAAGGAGTGAAAACCCACCCAGCCTGCACCCAGGGTGTGGCCCTCAAAGGTACCTCAGGGAAGGACGGGCAGAGTGAGGGTTAAGTTTCCCCTGAGATTAGGCCTGAGAGATGGAATAAAAAAACCAAGTGTATCTGAAAAGGTCGATCAATCCGATCAAAACCGACAAACAAACAAAACAAATGCACAGGTGCATGCCATCCAAGCAGCGGAGGCTGAGGCAGGAGGATCTCTGGTTGGAGCCCAGTGTGGGAAACTTAGGAAGAGCCTGTCTCAAAACTCAAAAAAGGCGGAGATGGAGCCCAGTCCCACACAAACAAAACAAAGCGAAATCTAGGCTCGCACATGACTTGTATAAAGCGTTTTTTTTTTCAGTCACTGAAGGAAACGTCAAATCTAAAGACTCCAGAAATCCTTGTGGGGGGCGTGGCTACTTGGGCTTTTGCAGCGCTAACAAAATAAAATCTTTTTTTTCTTTTTAAGTGGCTGGGAGCTTAGAACGGATGAGGCAGATTAGGAGGAATCTTGCGCCCCTGGGACCTGGGAGGCGGCACCAGAAACCCGAGAGAAAAAATACCTTCCCAAGGCCGCCGGGTCCTGGTCCTTTTTTGTCCCCCGAAGGCCCGGGTGCCTCCCTGCCCGACCCCAGAGGGAAGCGCGGACTGCAAAGGAAGCTTCACGGCTACCACGGAACCCAAAGCTGGAAGGAAATCCCTCAGCACAAACAGGGAAGCGAGTAGAGCGAGGGGCCGCGGCTGGGGAGAAGCAGGGCCCTCGGGGAGACAAGGGTTAAACCGGGAGAGGAAATCCTCGGAGGCCGGAGGAGGCCGGCTGAAACCGGATGCCCCTTTGATCACTGCTGCGTTCCTTGGGGGCAGGGTCAGGCCTGGGCCGCGGAGCCCCAGCTCAGGGCCGTTGCGACCTGCTCCCCCTCCACAACCATCCATGTCTCCCACTGGCCCTAAGGAACCAGTGCCTGGGCCCCACATGGTCCCCCGAGGCCTCCAGAGCCCCCCTGTGCCCCAGCCCTGCCCAGGCCCCTGGAGGAGGCCGGAGCTTCGAGGCCCGAAGTCTCACCCCGAAGTCTCACCGCGCCCCACAGCCCGGCTCTGTCCTCCGGCCCTGCTGAAGCCGAGCTCTGTCGCCGGCCTGAGGCTATTTCTGTCCAGCGGCCCCGCGCTGCGCTGGCCCGGCCCGGCGGCCGCACAAAGCCGGCTTGTACCCGGGCTCCACGCTGGCCCTGCCCCACGCCGGGCAGGCACCCTGAGAGGGAACCCAGCTGCCCTGAAGGCGCCTGTGTTCCGGGCAGCGCAGGAATGCAGCGGGGCCCTGGGCCAGCCGCCTCCTGCAAACACTTGCCCCGAGGCGCCCCAAAATAGCCCCGCGCTTTTCCTGCCACACACCGGTCCGTTTTTAGCTGCTAACCCAAAGGGGCTTTGAAGCCCGCGCACAGCGCAACCCGCGGACGCATCCGCGAGGCTGAACGCGGCTCTGTGGGCTGCGGGCAGGCCAGGAACAACGTTTGCACAGCTGACTGAGGCTGGCGCGCCTGGCAGCCCGGTACTGCGGGAGGCTGAGGCAGGAGGCTCTCGGGTTCCGCCCTGGACAACTTCAACACACAAAACGATGTTCTCTTTTTTTTTTTTTTTTTTTTTTGCGGTCGCTGCTAGGGGTTGATCCCAAGCTTTTTACATGCAAGAAGAGAGTTCTACCACTGAGCCACATCCCCAGCGCACAAAATGAGGTTAAGAAAAAAAATCGGCCTGGGGGTGCAGCTCGGAGGTAAAGCGGCGCACTGAACACGCCCCCCCCCCATAAAAACTGTTTTAAACCTCACGATGAGAGCGCGAAGCCGGGCGTGGTGGCGCACGCCTGTAATCCCAGCACTCGGGAGGCTGAGGCAGGAGGATTGTCGAGAGTTTGAGACCAGCCTGAGCTGCATAGCGAGACCCTGTCTTAAAAAGACAAAAAAAGAAAGAAAAAGAAAAAGCGAGACATACAAGGGAGCGTGCATGGCTCGGGGAGTTTAGTGCACCGCCTGCCGCGCGGGTGATTTTTGCAGGTATTTGTTCGCTTTTTTGCAATTATCAGAGCGGTTTATTTTCAGCGTCAGAGGCCAGCGACGGAAGGCACTGCCCTGCTCCGATCTATCCTTGCTGCCTGGTAACTGTAACAAGCGTACACACGACAGCTAGTGTGCAAAGCGGCCGCCTTCACCGAAAAAGCCCGCGGTCGGCCGGCGCGCGCTCCCGGTGCTCGGCGGCCCGCACTGCGCATGCTCGCCCCGGTTCCCCTTCCTCCCATGGTACTCCGCCGGGCCGCTCGGGCTTGCATTGCGCATGCTCCACAGCCCCGGCTCTCGCACGCCTCTCTCATAGGGTACGCTCTGCGCATGTTCGCTCTCCACCCCGCCCCCATGCACACACGGCAGCGTGCCCGGGCGGCAGACATGCATTGCGCATGCTCTAACTTGGGCTCTAGGGCCGGGCCTTCAGCGGTTCGCTCTGCGCATGCTCCTTCAGAGACGCCTTCCGCGTAGTGCGCATGCTCTCACGTCTCCACGGCACCCAGCGCTTCTCTCCGGCGTTCCCAAAACACCCAAAGGCAGAATGAGCTCGGACAGGCCGACTCGCACGCCGCGGCCCTCCTCCTCACCCAGCCCCTCGGCCGCCGCAACGCTGCAAAGCCGCCTCCGCCCCGCCCGGGCTCGGAGG